CAGCGCCAGCAGCAGCAGCATCTTAGCGGGGCCCCGAGGGCCGCGGGGGCCACCGGCGCCGCGCATCGCCTGCGGGCCCCTCCGGGCGGCCTCTGACACGGGAGAGCGGGCGCACAGAGCCGGGGAGACCCCGGGAGCGGAGAGGGACACAAATGAGAGGAAGACACAGAGATGGGGAGACAGAGACGGGGGACAGGATATAGAGAGACACGGACAGGAGGAGATACAGGGAGGGAGAGACTCAGAGATAGGGAGGAGAGGGAAAGGTTGCGATATAGAGACAGGGAGCCACAGAGAGACACACAGGCAAAGGGAGAGACAGAGACAGAGAGAGCGAGGCAAAGGGAGAGACACAGAGACAGGGAAAGTGGAGGTGGGTAATGGGGACAGAGAAGATGCAGAGATCGGGAAAAGAGATAGACAAGGCAGGAATGGGTAACAGACCCGCAGAGACGGGATCAGAACAGGAGCCGAGAGAGAAAGGGGGAGATGGCAAGAGAGATGAACACAGCCACAGAGAGATGGTCGGAGAGAGACATGGACAGGAAGAAGGAGAGAGATGGAAGGAGAAACAGACGAGGATGGAGAGGCTCAGAGTGACAGAGACAGGGAGAGGAAGGAGGCAGAGAGAGAGAAGACCGAGTGACAGAAATAGGGAGGGAAAGATAGAGAGGCAGGGAGAGTTGCAGAGGAAGACAAGGAAGGCGGGAGAGATAAGAGAGACGAGAAAGTTGGACAGAGATAGGAAGACGGAAAGAAGCCCAGAAAGATGGAGACGGACCCCACGGCCACCAAGAGACATGGACACACAAGAGACGGAGAAACAGGCAGAACAGATTGAGGGAGGAGGCAGGCAGAGCAGACAGAAAACATAGGAAGACAGAAATAGCGAACCAAGGCAAAGATCAAGACCCCCACCAGGGAGGTGCCCGGCACAGACATGAAAGGGAGGCGGGTGGCAGGCGGGATCAAAAATAAAAGGAAGAAAAAGTGAGGGAAAAAAATGAGAAAGGGAAAAGGGGTCAGGTGTGTGGGGGGAGAGAAAGAAGAGAGAAAAAGAAATGAGTGGGACATCCCAAGGAGAGAAAACACCCCCAGGACCTTACCTCCCACCTTGACCACAACCCCCAACCTGTTTTTGTCCCCTTACTCTGTCCCTATCCCCCCCCCCATTCTCAGTGAGAGCTAGAAAGAGAGTCACGGCCCAGGCTGGGTTGCAGGGTTGGGGGGCACAGCTGTGGAGAGCCAGGGGGCAGGGGTCCCTGGCTCCCAGCCCAGAGCAATTTAGTAAATTAGAGGAAATACAGCATCTCTTCCTGTGTCCCCTGTTGAATACTAGCTGCCTGGGGTGGTCGGGCTGGGAGCCCAGACTCCTGGCTCCTGGGTCTGAAGGAGGAGGGTACTGGGGGCCTGGACTCCTGGTTCCCAGGGAGAGATTAGAGCCTGCACTAGGGGCTTCCTAAAGGGGTGAAGGTCCAGATGGGGAAGAGTTCTCTCTTGGCTGTCAATCAGGCTTCTGTCCGGTTGCCATGGTAGCGCAGGCCTCCTCTACCCCACAAATAGCCAGGGTGGGGGAAAGGCCCACACCCCTTCCCCTGCCTAGAGGCCTTGCTCCCCTCCCTGCAACACACACCTGCCTCCCAGGGATCCTGGGCCACTGTCTCCCCAGGGATGGGGGTGGGGACTCCTAGTGTGCCCGTCCCTCCCAAATCTTGGCTCCCCTGGCCCCTCCTCTCCTCTGCCCTTCCCCAAGCAGCTGGCTCAATCAGCGCTCAGAATAGCCCCCCCCACCCCAAAATAACCCACAGCTGTGGCCCGGCCCCTGCGGGGTTAACACTCACTCACTCCTCCCTTCCCAGTGGTTTTGCATCCCTCAGACCCTCCTCTGCCTCTCTCAGACCCACCCCTGCTTGGCCTCCGTCCTTGGGGACCCCAGGTTCCTACTCCCTGCTGAGGCCCAGGAGGGTAACTCCAGCCCCACCCTTCTTAGGAAGCTGGATGCCCAGTCCTCTGGTGGGAAGGGCAGTCTCCCAACCCTTCAGGGTCTGAGTAGTGGCATCCCCAGCCGCTGGGAGACTCTGGAGGCCCAATTCCCAGAACCTATGCCCTCAGGGATTACATTGCCCAGGCCCCCAATCTCCACCTCATAAGTCTCAGTCCCCAGATCCATTCCCATGGGGCCCAAGAGCCGGACCCCCCTTGTCCCCTGCCCTGTCAGAGACTCAGGAGACTGGGCCCCCAGCCCCTTCTTCCCTCAGACACAGAAGCTCTATTTAACTTCTCCCATAAAGACTCAAGAATCTTGGCTCTCAGCACGCTTCTCCCCTAGGACCCAGGAGTCCAGATGCTCAGTTCTGTCTTTTCCCAGGACCCAGAGGTCTTGGCCCCCTCCGGCCCCCTAAACTGGGTGCCCAGCCTCCTCTATGCCCAGAAACCAGGAATCCAGGCCCATAGCCATTTCTTCCCTTAAGAACCCCCTTTTTGCCTCAAACCCCATCAGTCCCAACATCCTGGGAGCCCCCCCCCATTCTCCGCCAGCTCCAGCCTCCTGTCACCCCACTCAGGTCCTGTATACAGCACAGGCTGTCCCCCAGCTAAGAAGGAGGAGGATGCCAGAGATTCCTGGGGTGTCCCTGTCTCCATCACTCCCCCCAATCCATCACAGAAGAGAGGAGAGGCCACTTTGATCAACAGCCCGCCCCCCCCCTCGTGTCGTGCCGCAGACGGCATCCCGTTCTACCCCCCCGCCCCCGCCCCTCCAACACCGTTCTCTCCCCACCCTAATCCTGGTGCTCAGAACAGGCTGGAAGGGTATTCCAGAACCTTGAGGAGGGGGTGGTAGCTTGGGGTGAGGGGTGCTTGGGGCCTGGATGCCCTCAAGGTCCTTGGCGGGGGTATTAATAGCAGACTCATAGCTCTGAGAAGGGAGGGGAGAGCGAGAGGAGAGAGGGAGAGGAACGGCCAGCGAGGGGGGAGACTGATGCTGGCAGGGGGATGCAGAGGGAAGATGGGATGGAGAGATGGGGGAAAGAGAGAGAGATGGGGTGTCAGGTATACGGGGCTGGGGAGAGGGTGCAAAGTGTCAGAGAAATGGGGGGTTAGGAGGTCTGAGGAGTAGAGACCCAGGAAAAAGGGGCTCAGAGAGGGAGAAAGAGAGGGGGTGGAGGAGAGTCTCCAGGAGACAAGGGAGCTGGCGAGGGGCGAAGACCCCTGCTCGCCATGCCATCCCCCTCCTTCCCTGAGGCCCCTGGCCAACTTTCCCTGTCCTAGATCTGGGGGTCCACATTCCCTCCCCCACCCCCGCATCCCCTACCCCGGCCTTACCTTTTCATGACCCTGTTCTGTGGGGGGTACTGCGGGGGGGCAGGACCGGAACCCAGAGTCCAGCGACCCGAAGATTCGGCGGAGGGCTCAGGGAACCGCTGGGGGGCAAAGCCCTGGGGCGGCGGCGGCTGCAGCGGCGATGGGGACCTCCTGCCTGTCCCCGGCTCCGGCTCTCCCTCCTCGTCTTCGGTCCCGTCCTGCCCTGTCTGTCCCCCAAGGTTGCGGCCACCCCAACTAGGCGAGGTTGCTGCTACACATGTTGCACTGGAAGTTGGGCCCCGGACATTGCGGAGGCTGTCGGGGTGTCCTCTCGCCGCCCCGACCCCGTGGGGATCCCCCCTCCGCCCACCTGGGGTGCCCCCCTCTGCTGCTTCAGCCCCGGCTCCTCCCCCCGGTCCATGTGTCCGGTCCCGCCTCTCTCTGGCTCATTCGCACCCCCACCCTTTGTGCCCTCAGCGCCCCCCCCCCTCCAGCGTCTGTGTCTGTCTGTCTGTCTGGGTCACCTCTGAAGCCAGTGGCTGGTGTGTGTGTGTTAGTGTGAGGGGCGGGAGGCTGCCTGTCTGGGGAACTGCTTGCCCCTTCCTCGCTTGGCCACCTCCAGACCCCCCCCAGCACCCCCACACTCAAACCCAGGCAGAAACACACACATACACACACATACACACACGCACACACGCACGACCTCACTTCCCTGGGATTCCCCCTCAACACCCCCGGACCTTGAGGAGGGAGCCACACACACACACACACACACACACACACACACACGGGGGGGGTCCAATGGGGGCCGGGCTGCCACTGCCGTCCGGGGCTGTTCGGACAGACAGGAGGACACAGGCAGCTGGGGACGCCAGACGCCCGGCCGGACGCAGGCAGGAGGCACAGAGTCCAGGTACACACCATCCATCCGGGTTTGGGGGGCTGGGGTGGGGGGAGGAGACCGGGGGGGGGCCCACGACACCCAGGCAGGAGGCTCAGAGTCGGTACAGACAGACAGACCCCTCCCTCCCTGCCTCCCTCCCTCGGCCGCCGCAGCCCTTACAGACACACCCCCCCTTCACCAGCCCAGCCCCAGACACCCTGACATACAGATCCTCACCGGGCAGATGGCAGACGCACGAGAGACCCCTGGGGGCCGGGCGGACCCACCCAGGCCGACACCCCCCAGCTGGGCACTGGTGGCCGAGGGCGGCTGCGGGTGGAGGGTGGCGGCAGCAGCCGCTGCTTGGAGGACCTGGAGCGGGAGGGACTCGCACACTCGCTCTGTTCTCGCACACACACACTCACTCGGGATGCGATTAACATTCAGTCCCCATCCGCCCCTGCCGGGAGACCCATAGCCCCCCCTCCTGGCCTCCCTGGGGACCCCTCCTCCTGCCGGGGCTGGGGGAGGGGGCCGCCCCCCACCCCCAGCTCCCAGCCTCTGCCTCCCTCCTGGGACAAGAGAATGAGGGGTCCACAAATAAAAAGGGAGGAAGTGTGTGTTGAGTGCGGGGGGGGGGGGGGTGGGGTGGGAGGGGTAGAGAGAGGCAGGGACTCAGAACCCAGCCTTGACATAGCAGCTTCCGCTGTGGACTCCAGGGCCCAGGGGCTGCTGACTTCTGCCCCCTCCCCACTTTGAGGCTTGAGAAGCAGGAGGCCATTCCTAGACTTTAGTCTCTGCCGCGCTAGGACCCATCTTTTGGTTTCTCTTGCCCCAGAGGCCAGGCTTGCAAACTAGGTCTCCACCATGAAGCCAGGAGTCCAGGCTCCCAGCCCTCTCCTCTCTCAGATCCAGCAATTCAAGTCCCCAGCCCCCTCCTCCCTCAGACCCTAAAGTCCAGGCCCCAGTGCCTCCTCCCTCAGATCCCTTCCTCCAGGCCCAGTCCCTGTTGGGCACTCAGACAACCTGACCCCCCAGCACAAACCATCCTCAGGGTCCCACGAGTCCGAGACTCATGGATGTCACCCTCAGGCACCCAGTCCATCCAGGCCTCTGAGGAAACCAATATCACTTCTGTTCCTGAGGCACCCTGGCCTCCGTCACCCATGGGTACTCAAACGTCCAAGAGGAAAGCAGCTGTCTGCTTCCTCCTAGACACAGCCTGGCCCCCGGAGTGGCCCTCAGGCCAGCTGCCCAGCCCATGCCCCTCATGCCCGAGAGGCTGGGCCCAGCGTTCTCTAAAGTGGGGGGGTGGGGTGGAGTGCAGGACACCTGGGCCCCCGCGGGCAGAGCCCAGGAGAGTGTATGTGTTTGTGTGTGTATGCGCGCGCGTGTGTGTGTGTGTGTGTGTGCCTGTGAGGGGGCAGGGTTGTGGGGGGCTGACTCCAGGGTCTGGGAGAGCAGGGGTGAAGACTCACATTCCCGAAAAAGAAGAGGCTGGGGACCTGAATCTGTGGGTCCCAGAGGGAGGAAGGGATTGTGCATCTAGGTTCCCGGGCCAGGATGCTGGAGACACAAGTCGGTGGAGGGGGTACCCTAAGTCTCAGGAAGGGGGGCACACTCGTGGGTCTGAGGGAAGAAGGGGGCTGAGTCCCCTTCCAGAACGGCTCAGACCCAGAAGGGCTCCTGGGTCCTCGGGGATGAAAGTGCTGAGGCGCCAGACTCCTGGGTCTGAGGGAGGGGCTGGGGGCTGCTTTCTGGTCTTTTGGGGGGACTGGAGCTGGAGGCCCCTGAAAGGCCAGCGTCTGGGGCCCTGTCTAGGATTTTAAAAAAACTCGCAGCCCAGCCTCCCGAGTCCCTGACAACCGCAGAGCCTGGGAGGCTGAGCCGCTACCCTCGCAAAGGCACAGGCCGCCTGGAGGAGCAGGTGCCGGACTTGGACTTGGGAGTTTCAGATCCCATCGACCCCACAAATTCCTGACAGGCAGCCTTGGGGGTGCCTTTAGCGCCGATTCCGCAAGCCCGGAGGTGCGGGCATAGGGGGCGCCGGAGAGCCGGAACTCCGCCCTCGGGGGCGGAGCCTCCCGCCGGACTCCTCCCCCCTCCCGCCCTCCTCCCTCTTCCCAGCTCCTGCTCTGCCACCAGCTCCGGCTTCGGCTCCCCCTCCCAGAGCCCCCTCCCAAAGCATGAATCTCTTCCGATTCCTGGGAGACCTCTCCCACCTCCTAGCCATCATCTTGCTACTGCTCAAAATCTGGAAGTCCCGCTCTTGTGCCGGTGAGACGCCCAGCGGGGCGGGAGAAGGGGGGCAGCGCGGGGGACATCGCAGGACTCGGGGAAGGGTTTGGAGGCACGAGGGGGACGGGTCTCCCCACCCAGCCCCCCGCTGCTTGCTGGGGATCCCCCTTCCAGTCCGGGGTCACCGGGGGGTCACTTCCCTTCCCCAGACTAGGGGTGCATACAGTTTGGTGGGGGTGGCTCCAGGCACCCAATTCAGCTCCCCCCGGGCCCTTCTCTGGTGGCCCCGGGAACCGTGGCAGGCAGGGAGGTGGCCCGGAGTTGGTGACGTGGACCGTGGCGGCCAGGAAGGGAGCGGGAGAGCGGCGACCGGTTCCAGGGGGCTGAGGTCAAGTGGGGTCCTTCCGAGGCCCCACCTTGTGTCCGGACTGTGGGAGGACCCTGAGGGGGCCGGGAGTGGCCGTGAGGCCTAGCCTGGGACAGAGCCTCGGGCTGGAGTAGCTTCGGGGCCGGGCTGCCCCCTGGCTGTGGGCCGTGGGAAAGGGCCCTGCTCAGGCGGGGAGGGCTGGGGAGGCCTCCAGGGACAGCTGCACTCTGGAGCCGACTCTGGGCTGGTCCCAGGCGCTGGGCCTTGCTTTATTCCCCAGGCAGCCCACTCCCAGCCTACCCCCCACTCTCTCTTTGGACCGCAGGGATTTCAGGGAAGAGCCAGGTCCTGTTTGCTGTGGTGTTCACCGCCCGATACCTGGACCTCTTCACCAACTACATCTCACTGTACAACACCTGCATGAAGGTAAAGGCTCTACCCCACCTGCTGGCCCCTCCTGAGGGGGGAGCCAAGTGAGGGTCCTAGGGAGGAGGGAGTATGGAGCCCAGACTTCCTGGGCCCACAGGAGGAAGGGGCTGGGGTTCCAAACTCCTGAGTCCAAGGGAGAGGGGGGCTGGAGGTGAGGACTCCTGGATGTGAGGAAGGAGGGACTGGGGGTAAGGACTCCTGGGTCTGAGGGAGGAGGCTGGGGTCCTGGACTCCTGGGTCTGAGGGAGGAAGCGGCCGGGGTTCTAGACTCCTAAGTTCCAATCTCTTGGAGGCTCAGGCCCTGCACTTTGAGCTGAAGTGCCCTCCTCGTCATCCCCCCTTGGCAGGTGGTCTACATTGCCTGTTCCTTCACCACAGTCTGGATGATTTACAGCAAGTTCAAAGCCACTTACGATGGGAACCACGATACATTCCGGGTGGAGTTCCTTGTTGTTCCCACGGCCATCCTGGCGTTCCTGGTCAACCATGATTTTACCCCTCTAGAGGTAGGCTACCTGGCAGGGTCCTGGTAGTGGTGGGTGGCAGAACAGCTATTGACAGTGGACCCTCTCAAGGGCTTCCTTGTGCAGGGTTTGCTCAGACTTCCTTATTTTATTTACTTATTTTTTTAAAAGATTTTAGTTATTTATTTGAGAGGGAGAGGGAGCATAAGCAGGGGGGAGGGGCAGAGGGAGAAGCAGACTCCCCGCAGAGCAGGGAGCCCGATGCGGGACTCGATCCCAGGATCCTGGGATCATGACCTGAGTCTTAGGCCGACACTTAACGACTGAGCCCCCCAGACGCCCCCAGACTTCCTTATTTTAGGACATACAAGTTCAGCACACAGGTTCGGGAGTTGGATGGTATTAAAGCAATAATAGCAGCACTCAGTGTATTCCAGGTGCAGCTCTAAGCATTTCTTTGTACAGCAGCCCCATTTTACAGATGAGGCAACTGAGGCTTAGGGAGTCTGAATGACTTGTCCAAGGTCATTGGCTTAATGAGTAGCTCAGGAATTGGGAACAGGGGCCCTGGAGCCAGACTACTTGGATTTGAATCCCACATTAGCTACTTTCTATTAGCGTGACCTTGGGCATGTGACTTGACCTCTCCATGCCTCAGTTTCCCTATCTGTAAGGTCCCGACCAGGTCATTGTGAGGATTTACTGATTGTGTGGCATGGTCTCATGGTTAAACATATAGACTATGGAACCAGAGAGCAGGGGTGATTCAAAAGCCAGCTTCTACTACTCAGCAGCTGTGGGACTTTGGGCAAGTCTGTTATTTTTCTGGGCCTCAGTCTCCTTGTCTGTAAAATGGGGATAATCAATTCCCTCTTCATAGGGTTCTTTTTTTTTTTATATATATAT